GGAAAAAACAACTTTTTGAAGTTACAAAATAAATTTTAATCCCACCTCTGGTACCTCACACGCAGAAATAAATAAGACTTTGTAAAAAAAAAAAATTAAATAAAAAAATAAAACATGAAGTTGAGAGTAAAAGAACTAGTTCTTCGATATAAATGTGCTTCATATATACCTTGTGAACAAAAAGGTCTATACTTTTACACACTTTTTTAGATGAATAAATTATTGATTTATTGATACCAGAAACCAAGGCTTGTTTGTTTTTGTAACAGAGTGTCCTTATGGGTAATAATTTATAGTCAATATTCACATTTCTTAAAAGAAAATGAAATTGAAATACATATCTATACACCTATACATACATACACTGCTAAAAAAGATAAAGGGAACACTTAAACAACACAATGTAACTCCAAGTCAATCACACTTCTGTGAAATCAAACTGTCCACTTAGGAAGCAACACTGAGTGACAATCAGTTTCACATGCTGTTGTGCAAATGGGATAGACAACAGGTGGAAATTATAGGCAATTAGCAAGTCACCCCCAATAAAGGAGTGGTTCTGCAGGTGGTGACCACAGACCACTTCTCAGTTCCTATGCTTCCTGGCTGATGTTTTGGTCACTTTTGAATGCTGGCGGTGCTTTCACTCTAGTGGTAGCATGAGACGGAGTCTACAACCCACACAAGTGGCTCAGGTAGTGCAGCTCATCCAGGATGGCACATCAATGCGAGCTGTGGCAAGAGGGTTTGCTCTGTGTGTCAACGTAGTGTCCAGAGCATGGGGGCGCTACCAGGAGACAGGTCAGTACATCAGGAGACGTGGAGGAGGCCAACAACCCAGCAGCAGGACCGCTACCTCCGCCTTTGTGCAAGGAGGAACAGGAGCAGCACTGCCAGAGCCCTGCAAAATGATCTCCAGCAGGCCACAAATGTGCATGTGTCTGCTCAAACGGTCAGAAACAGACTCCATGAGGGTGGTATGAGGGCCCGACGTCCACAGGTGGGGGTTGTGCTTACAGCCCAACACCGTGCAGGACATTTGGCATTTGCCAGAGAACACCAAGAGTGGTAAATTCGCCACTGGCGCCCTGTGGTCTTCACAGATGAAAGCAGGTTCACTCTGAGTATATGTGACAGTCTGGAGACGCCGTGGAGAACGTTCTGCTGCCTGCAACATCCTCCATCATGACTGGTTTTGCGGTGGGTCAGTAATGGTCTGTGGTGGCATTTCTTTGGGGGGCCGCACAGCCCTCCTCTTGCGAGCACATGGTAGCCTGACTGCCATTCGGTACCGAGATGAGATCCTCAGACCCCTTGTGAGACCATATGCTGGTGCGGTTGGCCCTGGGTTCCTCCTAATGCAAGACAATGCTAGACATCATGTGGCTGGAGTGTGTCAGCAGTTCCTGTAATACGAAGACATTGATGCTATGGACTAGCCTGCCTGTTCCCCAGACCTGAATCCAATTGAGCACATCTGGGACATCATGTCTCGCTCCATCCACCAATGTCACGTTGCACCACAGACTGTCCAGGAGTTGGCAGGTGCTTTAGTCCAGGTCTGGGAGGAGATCCCTCAGGAGACCACCCGCCACCTCATCAGGAGCTTGCACAGGCATTGTAGGGAGGTCATACAGGCACACACACACACACACACTACTGAGCCTAATTTTGACTTGTTTTAAGGACATTACATCAAAGTTGGATCAGCCTGTAGTGTGTTTTTCCACTTTAATTTTGAGCGTGACTCCAAATCCAGACCTCCATGGGTTGAAAATTTTGATTTCCATTTTTTTAATTTTGTGTGATTTTGTTGTCGGCACATTCAACTATGCAAAGAAGAAAGTATTCCAGAAAAATATTTAATTCATTCTGATGTTTTTTTTGTGTTCCCTTAATTTTTTGAGCAGTGTATTTAGATTTCATGTCTAAGCACCATAACCGTTTCATCTTATTTGAGTGGTTTTTGATGCAGTTCAGAATACTCTTGTTAGCTGCCAATATCCATTTTGTGCAATGTGTGATCTTGGGACAAGCTGCCTGTGGATGGATGAGTTTGTTATACAGTTAGGGCCCTCACTTTGTGATTTACCTGCTTTACGACTGCTTGGACTTATGACCAGCTCTCTAGCTTGGGGAATTCAAGGGACTCCCAACATTAGCTGGTCTGTGTTCGAGGAATTTACCCCAGACGTAGATTTGAGGAATTCCCTGCTCTAGTGAACTGTCTATGTTCAGGGAAAATTCCCTGAACATAGATTTGAGAGATTCCTGGCACTAGTGAGCATATCTATGTAATGTGGAATTCCCCCGAACATAGACCTGCTCTCTAGCGTATCCTCACTTACCAACCAATTCATTTTACGACGAAGTCTGGTCGGTAAGTGAGGATCACACCTGTACACTGTCAAAGCGCCTCCTGCCTATCTTTCAAAAAATTTAATTCTCTGAGTCTCTGATAAAAAGAAAAACAACTGTTTTTGACATTTTTTCCTCCCAGGAGCAGTGATCCAATGAAAAAACAAAACAGAAGGCTCTCAATATTTTTGATAAGATTGAGTGCAAGAAGTTATACCCATCTGGACTAAAACTCTTCATAATGTAATTAGATTGTGGATGAGGTTGGTGGTTGTTAAATGGATACTATAGGCACCTTTAACTTAATGAAGTAGTTTTAGTGTATAGATCATGTTTCTGAAGTCTCACTGCTCAATTCTCTGTCATTTAGGAGTAAATCACTTTTGTGTCTGTCTATGCAGCCCTAGCCACACCTCCACTGGCTATGACTGACCGCATGCATTATAAAAAATAATTTTTTTATTTAGATGTTAGCTTGTAAAATGTTTTTCTCCTGTGTATATTGAACTTTATTCACACACTGTAGGCTGATGCAGAGTCTAGAAGGCTATTAACAGAGCAAGAGATAAGGAATTGTAAGTTAAATAGAATGTGCAATAAAGGAAATATAAACATTAGATTTTACAGACAATGTTTAGGAAGACTGTGTAGGTCACATGCAGGGAGGTGTGACTTGCCTGCATAAACAAAGTGGTTTAATTCCTAAATTTCAGATAATTGAGCAGTGAGACTGCAGAGAAATGATTTATTCACCAAAACTGCTTCATTAAGCTTTTGCTTTGGTTCCTATAGTGTCCCTTTAAAATTATTCATCTGATAAAATGGGATTGTAAAGTAATCAAATGCTTACCAGTTTTTGGGGAATATAATTCCAATCTAATCCAGTCATTTTTGTCCACAATAGCTTTATATAGCAAGTTATAATTTTAATGGAGACATACAAATTGGTATCTTGATATGCCACACCTGTGAGGTGGATGGATTATCTCGGCAAAGGAGAAGTGCTCACTAACCCAGATTTAGACAGATTTATGAACAATATTTGAGAGAAATAGGCCTTTTGTGTACATAGAAAAAGTCTTAGATCCTTGAGTTCAGCTCATGAAAAATGGGGGGGAAAAAAACAAGTGTTGAATTTATAATTTTGTTAAGTGTAAGAGCCAGCTCCCAAAAATCTTAAATTTGGGGCCACTAAAAGAACTGTGTGAAAATTTGCTGAATGGCAGTCACAAAGTTCTTATCGGGACAATCACAAATGGGAAACTGTGTAAATCAGAGATCAGAAGTGCATTCAGAGCAGAATGAAATGGTAAGATGAGCAAGCTTTCGGGGGGCCCAAATGCAAAACCAAAAGGCAAAAAAGCAGTTTTGAGCGCACGTTCGGACAAGACAAATGCTGTGTGAACTGATGGACACCCATATGCCCCCATTTCGGTTTCGAAACACAAGGCGGCCGGCCACAAATGGGGCAAAATGTACAGGAAATACAGTTCAAAAAGCGCAAAAGAATGGAATAGGTTTCCAAGAATCCCCAAGTACCACTAATATAGTTTAGGGCCAGGGAGGAAAAAGGGGAAAACCCCCAAAGCCAAGACACACAGGGTTAACACAAACATCTAGTATGCAAAGGAATAATAGTTGCAGTAAATAAAAAAACTATAAGCAATCTGACTATAAGAGCAACAATATTGGTCCTACAGTTAAGAACCATAGGACCAGGTTGTACTTATCTGACAGGGCAGCAAAGAAAGAGGAAGTACCTTGTTTGGTACTGCCTATTATGCGGTGAAAGCGATGTTGGTTGGTTGGTCTTGTTGCTACAAGGACACGTCTCTTATGTTACCTACCTGTTATATTAATTTTTTTAAAAAATTTCCTTTGCTGCTGAGGGAAATAAAGAAAGAGTGCAGCATAATAGGCACCTCTGTATATTTTATAAAACCACTAAAGGGCAAGTGAATAATAATGATTGTTATTACAATGCCATCTGTCAAGGGATGGGCTATATTAGACAGCAAGTGAACAGTTAGTTCTTGGATTTCATGTCTTGGAAGCAGGAAAAATGTACCCGACTTGCAGTGGTTAGTCCCTACAAAAAGTGGTGCAAGGAAGGACAACCGGTAAATGTGCATCGGGGTCATAGGCACCCAAGGTGCATTGATGCATGTAGGGAGAAAAGGCTAGCCTGTTTGGACCGATTACACCGAAATGTAAATAAAATTGCTTATAAACTGTCCATGATAAAACAGTGCATCACAGTTTGCTGCATATCCACAAACAGGTCAGAGTGATTGTGATGACCCCTGTTCACCATTGAAAGGGCCTTCAATGGGGATGGGAGCTTCAGAACTGAACCATGGACTATGGAGCATTGGAAGAGGGTTGCTTGGTCCAATGAATCACATTTTCTTTTCGGTCAGATGGATGGCCAGATGCATGTGCATTCTTTACCTGGGGAAGAGATAGGAGCAGGATGCACTTTGGAAAGAAGGTGCAGAGGCAGTGCTCTGCGCAAAGTTCAACTGGGAAACCTTAGGTCCATGTATTCATGTGGATGTTACTTAGACACATACCACCTACCTAGATATTGTTGCAGATCACGTAATTCCCATAATGGTAGTGGTGTTCTCTGATGGCAGTGACCTCTCAGCAGGATAAGGCACCCTGCCACACTGCAAAAAATGTTCAGGGACATGACACATTTTTAAAGGTGTTGCCTTGGCCTCCTAAATGATCTTATCTCAATTCAATTGTGCATCTGTGGGATGTGCTGGAACAACAAATCTGATATATGGAGGCCCCACCTCGCAACTTGCCGAATTTAAAGGGACACCATAGTCACCTGAATATCTTCAGCTTAATGAGGTTGTTGAGGTGAGAACTGTAGCTCCCTGCAGCTTTTCTCGTGTAAACACTGCATCTGAGAAAATACAGTGTTTACATTTGAAGCTAGTAACACCTGCAGTTGCAGTCACTCAGACTGCCACCCAAAGGGACTTCCGAGTTGATAAATGCATAATTTGCATTCATCTTCACGTTTGACTTCTTCACGCTTGAATGAAGACCTCAAACGTGCTATCAGCATACAGGAGATGGGAGGCACTGTCAACGCGCCTCCTATGTCCTGTAGTAACCCCGAAGCCTGTCAGCAATGAAGCGCCGACAGTGTGGAGATAAGGTCTCCTGCACACAGAGAAGGCTCGAGCTGACAGGCTGAAGACCGGAGACCGAGCAGGAGGGGAGGATCCAAATTGTAAGTAAACCTATTTTGGGTGGGTGAGTGAGATTGTGTGAGAGTGAGTGATGGATCCATCCCTCTCTATCCCTCTGGCTGGATAGGGATGGATGGATGGAGAGAGAGTGTGTGTATGTGAGCAATTTTTACTATTTGTGTGTTTGTATACAAACACTATATATAGAGAGATCTATATATGTAGTGTTTCTATGCAAACACACAAAGTTTGGGCTGAGGAGGGTTGCCGTAGGCGGGGGGCGGGTATAGAAAGTTTTTTGTTTGTTTTCTGTTTTTTTTCCTCATTGAAAATAACGAGTGCAATCACTAAGAAAATGTTTTTCGTTGGTGCCATTTATTTCATGGTCATATGTTCCCTATTAACAAGTACTTCCTGACAATTCTTTAACACGTCTATGATTCTTTCGCAATCAGATTTGGAGCAGGGCATGTGGCATGTCTTTGCTTGACAGATTAATGTCCAGAGTTAGATAGGAAAGTGTTGCACTTGAAGCATTTTGCAACTTGCATTTCCATATGGAAAACCGAACAAAGCTATTGGCATAAAAGATGGCATTAATGGAATTTGAATATTGAAAACCAAAATAAAAGCTGGGGAGTTGCTGAATGGTGATATAGCTGGGTATCATAGGCTTCAAACAGCAGAAGATATGACCTGGAAGCACTTTGGATTATCGAAACGTTGATTATATTACAGATGTTTTTTGTTCCATTAAACCACAATTTTTTTCACAAGACCTGTGAGTGCACCCCTGATATTTTTTTGATATATGCTTTAACACGGGTAGCACCTAGGCAATTATTACCTATATTTATTCAGCGACCAGGAGAGTGCCAAGCTGCATTTGTTTTTTCATACACCATACAAAAAAAATAAAGGGAACACAAAAATAACACATCCGAGATCTGAAAGAATTAAATATTCTTCTGAAATACTTTGTTCTTTACATAGTTGAATGTGCTGACAACAAAATCACACAAAAATTTAAAAAAAAAATGGAAATCAAAATGAGGCTCCGTAGTGTGTGTGGCCTCCACGTGCCTGTATGACCTCCCTACAATGCCTGTGCATGCTCCTGATGATGTGGTGGATGGTCTCCTGAGGGATTTCCTCCCAGAACTGGACTAAAGCATCTGCCAACTCCTGGACAGTCTATGGTGCAACGTGACGGTGGATGGAACAAGACATGATGTCCCAGATGGGTCTGGGGAACAGGCGGGCCAGTCCATAGCATCAATGCCTTCGTCTTGCAGGAACTGCTGACACACTCCAGCCACACGAGGTCTAGCATTGTGCATTAGGAGGAACCCAGGGCCAACCACACCAGTATATGGTCTCACAAGGGGTCTGAGGATCTCATCTCGGTACCTAATGGCAATCAGGCTACCTCTGGCGAGCACATGGAGGGCTGTGCGGCCCCCCAAAGAAATGCCACCCCACACCATTACTGACCCACTGCCAAACCGGTCATGCTGGAGGATGTTGCAGGCAGCAGAACGTTCTCCACGGCGTCTCCAGACTCTGTCACGTCTGTTACATGTGCTCAGTGTGAACATTTCATCTGTGAAGAGCACATGGCGCCAGTGGCGAATTTGCCAATCTTGGTGTTCTCTGGCAAATGCCAAACATTCTGTACGGTGTTGGGCTGTAAGCATAACCCCCACCTGTGGACGTTGGGCCCTCATTCCACCCTCATGGAGTCTGTTTTTGACCGTTTGAGCAGACTGCCTCCTCCACGTCTCCTGATGTACTGGCCTGTCTCCTGGTAGCGCCTCCATGCTCTAGACACTACGTTGACAGACACAGCAAACCCTCTTGCCACAGCTTGCATTGATGTGCCATCCTAGATGAGCTGCACTACCTGAGCCACTTGTGTGGGTTGTAGACTCCGTCTCATGCTACCACTAGAGCGAAAGCATGGCAGCATTCAAAAGTGACCAAAACATCAGCCAGGAAGCATAGGAACTGAGAAGTGGTCTGTGGTCACCACCTGCAGAACCATTCCTTTATTGGGGGTGACTTGCTAATTGCCTATAATTTCCACCTGTTGTCTATCGCAATTGCACAATAGCATGTGAAATAGATTGTCACTCAGTATTGCTTCCTAAGTGGACAGTTTGATTTCACAGTGTGATTGACTTGGAGTTACATTGTGTTGTTTAAGTGTTCCCTTTATTTTTTTGAGCAGTGTATGTGTATATATATATATATATATATATGTGTGTGTGTGTGTACATAGGCAATGTGGGGCCCGGAACTCCCAGAGCAGTCCAGGCCCACCAGGACCGCCGGGCCCATGACAACAGTCATGGTTGTCATGACCCGATGGCAGCCCTGGTGGGGCTCAGTAAAGTCAGAAGCTCAGCTCATACTGAAAGAGGTTTTGTGAAAAGGAGAGGTATGTCTAAAAGGGTGAAGGAAGCTACAGAAAGCTGCAAAACTAAAGAAATTCGCACGTGCAGAAAAATGCAGCATGAATATGAGGTCAAAACCAAAGTTGACCTCTTTCAGCCAATTAATGCATCACTGGAAAACTTCAGTTCAATTACAAAAGATAAGTGTGTGTATGTATGTATATATATATATATATATATATGTATATATATATATATATATATATACACACACAATGTGTGTGTGTGTATGCGTGTTTGCTCATACATACATATATTCTGCAGTTTGTCTTGTCCTGCATGCTAAAGCTAGTTGCTCCCTGCCCTGCACATCACTGGTTTGTTAAATTAAATGTTATTCAACATTCTGCTTATCTCTAAAGACTTTCTCTGTTATTCCCCCCCCCTTATTTTATTGATACCCACCCGAATGTCTTGACCAATCCTCACCTCCTCTGTGCATCTCCAAAGTGTTAAAAGACCACTTCTAGCAAACCTGAACAGTGCTCAGATAGTCCCCCACCCCAAGTTCCTTACTACATTCATAGATAGAATCCCACACACAACTTTAGATAATTCCAAATAGCAGCTGCAAACACTACCAGTAATGGGCACAATCCACCTTTTTAACCCCTAAAACTCAGCCCTTCTCCTTACTTCTGCTCATTCTCCTTTCCTCTAATTACCTACCCATCAGAGCAATGCTCTATATTCTTCTCCTCTCCTTCTCTCTCATCTCCCCCAGGATCAAAATATCCCCTTCCACCCACTTCCCTCAACAACACACTCATATTTACATTAATCCTTCTTTGCTACACTCCCCTCTTCTCTCATCTCAAGCCCTGCACTCATTTCTCTATTCTCTCTCTCCTGCTCCAACCCAATCTCACCATAGTCGCCGCCTGTATAAAATCTATTCACACCTCCTGTCACTATCTCTCCTCCTACTTCTGGCAGCTGGTGACATCTCTCCCAACCCAGGGCCCCTCACCTCATCTGCTCAAACTAAAATAACCAGAAACCATGCAAACCTCCTCCAAATACCCTGCAGTCTATCCTCCTCTACCAAAATTCAGTGTGCACTCTGGAACGCTCGCTCCATTTGTAGTAATATCAAATCCACAGCTATACATGACCTCATTATCTCTAACTCACTCACAATACTGGCACTCACTGAGACCTGGCTGTCCCCATCCGATACCGCTACTCCTGCTTCTTTATGTTTCAGTGGTCTACAGTTCTCCCATACACCTAGACTCGACTGTAAAGAAGGTGGTGTAGGCATCCTTCTCTCCCCTCAATGTACCTTTCAACCTATCCTCCCTGCCCCTGCCCTATCCTTTACTTCCTTTGAAGTTCACACTGTACGCCTTTTTAAGCCCACACCTTTAAGAATTGCCATCATCTATCGCCCCCCCCCAGTCACCCTAAACTATTTCTTGAACACCTTTCCTCCTGTTTACCCCACTTTCTTTCCTCTAGCACTCCCTCTCTCATACTTGGGGACTTCAATATCCCTATCAACAAGCTCAACTGCCCTGATGCCCCTCGTCTGCTCTCTGTAACCTCCTCCTTTGGACTCACACAGATTTCTTCCTCAGCAACTCACACTGCAGGAAACACTCTTGACCTCATCTTCACTAATTTCTGTACCACCTCTGATCTCGCCACTTTTCCATTTCCTTTATCTGACCACCATCTGCTAACATTTAACATCTGCATACCCCATACCAAAATTTTACCACCATCAACTCTCCAACCTCATAGAAACCTCAACTCCCTCAATCTCCAGCACTTCTCCACCAAACTCCAAACACTCCTTTTACCCATCTCAAATCTCAACTTCCCTAACTCTGCAACCTCACTCTACAACTCCACTCTCTCCTCTCAACTTGACATCATAGCACCTCCTACAGTTAAACACAGCAAGCGCCCCCAAATACAACCCTGGCACACCAAGCTGACCCGTTACCTCCAAAAATATTCCAGAACTGATGAACGCTGCTGGAGAAAGTCTCACTTTGCATCTGACTTTGTCCACTATAAATTTATGCTGCGCTCCTACAGCATGGCTCTTTCCTCTGCAAAAGTAAACTACTTCAACACCCTCATAAGCACACTGTCCCATCAACCCAAACACCTGTTTCACACTTTTGATGCTCTTCTAAGCCCTGTGACTCCTCCTCCTTCTACCACCTTGTCCGCCACAAACTTTGCATCTCATTTCACTGAGAAGATCTCTACA